TGGAGCAAATGCGGTTATATCTTAGAGCTTGGCTGTAGACAATGGGAGAGACAGATTGCTGGGGAGGGAGGCGGGGGCTGATGTCGGGGGGTATCCCCCTCCCCCTGCCTCGGGACTGGTTGGTTCCTGCTTCTGTCTGAACTTACAAGATGCTGACACACTCTCTGTCCCCCAAACACACTGTCACTCCCCCCTCCCACACACACACATACACACACACAGACACACACACTGCCCCCCCCCCCTTCAGTTGAAAAGCAGCTGGCAATGTAGTAGGATGCCCATGGAACAATGGGATTGAGAAACCTGCATCATATGACGCTGTGCCTGCCCCATGAGGCATTGCAAATCCTTCTCAAAGCACCCTGCAGCCAGTTGCACAGTGGGATAGCTACCACAATGCACTGCTCTCTTTGCTGTTGCAAGAGCTGCTAATGTGGATGCACTTCACAGTCACAAGGAGCACAGTGTGGACATGCAACAGCAGTTTAATTCCAGCACTTTAATAAAAGTTGTATAACTTGTTGCGTAGAAACTTGCCAGTGTAGACATACCCTTACACTCTACTCCGCACTGATTAGGCCTCAACTGGAGCATTGTGTCCAGTTCTGGGCACCACATTTCAGGAAAGATGTGAACAAATTGGAGAAAGTCAAGAGAAGAGCAACAAACATGATTAAAGGTCTAAAAAACATGACCTATGAGGGAACATTTAAAAAATTGGATTTGTTTAGTCTGGAGAAGAGAAGACCGAGGGGGGGCATGGTAACTGTTTTCAAGTACATAAAAGGTTGTTAGAAGGATGAGGGAGATAAATTGTTCTCGTTAACATCTGAAGATAGGACAAGAAGCAATGGGTTTAAAAAAGGGCGGTTTAGGTTGGACATTAGGAAAATTTCCTGTCAGGGTAGTTAAGTACCGGAATGAATTGCCTAGGGAGTTTATTGAATCTCCGTCATTAGAGATTTTTAAGAGCAGGTTAGACAAACACCTGTCAGGGACAGTCTAGATAATATTTAGTCCTGCCATGAGTGCAGTGGATGGGATTAGATGACCTTTGAGGTCCCTTCTTGTCCTATGATTCTATAATTCTATGTGGGGGAAGCGCTTTTGCCACATAGGGATTAAATAGCTAGTGTTGTCACTGAAGTGTTATCCATAGGCTTTACAGTTGATGCTCTGATTTGCTTAGTAGGGGCAGTGGAGTTTACACCATTAGGGGTCATCGTTTCAGGCTCTCTGCAGACTCAGGCAGATGTTGCCGAACTAGTCACACTTGGGGCACATTTGGAAGGTTTTCCTTGCAGCCATAAAAGCCAAAAAATTATTTTAAACAAACAAACAAATAAATAAAAATTAAAGCTTAGATTCTGGAGATTTCCAATGTGTCATGTGGGTCATACAAATATATCAGACGGGTTGTGTGACAGGTTGGATCACAGAAACCCCCTTGGGAACTGCCAAGACTACTTTTGCCCCTGCTTTCCCTGCCAGCCTGGGAATCCAGCACCCGTCTTATTGAGCCAGACATGCCAATCTGCTCCAACACAGACCCAGGGTCTGAACCACATGCCCCAAAGCTGCAGATTTAACTGAAAGCAGCTTAAGAAGTGTTCCTGTCTTTAACACTCAGATGCCCAACTCCCAATGGGGTCCAAACCCCAAATAAATCCATTTTACCCGGTATAAAGCTTATACATGGTAAACTCATAAATTGTTCGCCCTCTATAACACTGATAGAGAGAGCATAGCTGTTTGCGCCCCCCCCTTCCAGGTATTAATACATACTCTGGGCTAATTAATAAGTTAAAAGTGATTTTATTAAATACAGAAAGTAGGATTTAAGTGGTTCCAAGTAGTAACAGACGGAACAAAGTGAATTACCAAGCAAAATAAAATAAAACACGCAAGTCTAAGCCTAGTACAGTAATAAAACTGAATACAGATAAAATCTCACCTTCAGAGATGTTTCAATAAGTTTCTTTCACAGACTGGACGCCTTCCTAGTCTGGGCACAATCCTTTCCCCTGGTACAGCCCTTGTTCCAGCTCAGGTGATGGCTAGGATATTTCTCATGATGGCCGCCACTTTTGTTCTGTTCCACCCACTTATATATCTTTTGCATAAGGCAGGAATCCTTTGTCCCTCTGGGTTCCCACCCCTCCTTCTCAATGGAAAAACACCAGGTTAAAGATGGATTCCAATTCAGGTGACATGATTACATGTCACTGTAAGACCCCAAGCCTTCATTCCTCCCAGCCTGACTCACAGGAAGGCCTGCCTGCAAACAGAGCCATTCACAGTCCATTGTCCTGGCTGATGGGAGCCATCAAGATTCCAAACCACCATTAATGGCCCACACTTTGCATAATTACAATAGGCCCTCAGAGTTATATTTCATATTTCTAGTTTCAGACACAAGAGTGATACATTTATACAAATAGGATGACCACACTCTGTAGATTATAAGATTTGTAATGATACCTTATAAGAGATCTTTTGCATGAAGCATATTCCAGAAACATTATATTCACATTCATTAGCATATTTTTCATAAAATCGTATAGTGTGCAACATCACGGGTTGTGTATTAGACACCTCTAGATAATTAGATATTGTAGATAGATACTGTGGGTGGGTAAATAATATAGCTAGATAATGTGGACAGAGAAATCAGTGGGTGGGTGGATGGATGGATGGCTAGATTCTGTAGGTGACTAGTCAATATAGCTAGGTAGTGTGGATGGATAGATAGGCATAGAGAATTCTGCAGTCAGACAGATACTGTAGGTAGATATTGTAGATAGATAAGTACTGTATACAGAATTCTAAAAATGTAGGGCCAGAAGGCACCTCAAGAGGTCATCTAAGTCCATCTCCCCGGGTTGAGGCAATATTAAGTATAGCTAGACCATCCTTGACAGGTGTTTGTCAAACCTGTTCTTAATATATTCAGGCCAACTCGCATTGATTTCATTGGCTCTTCCTGAGTAAGGAATGGATAAAAAGTGATGGCTATTAATCAGGATGAACAGGGATGGTGTCCCTAGCCTCTGTTTGCCAGAAACTGGGAATGGGCGACAGGGGATGGAGCACTTGATGATTACCTGTTCTGTTCATCCTCTCCGGGGCACCTGACAGGGGCTATATTGGTCACTGTTTTAAGACAGGATACTGGGCTAGATGGACCTTTGGTCTGACCCAGTATGGCTGTTCTTATGATGAAGGATTTGGCCCCCTTATTGTACATGCCACTGGTTAGAGTGACAATGAGGTACAGTCGAAATGAGTGGTGAGATGACATATGCAATAAGAACAAGTTAAGATGACAGAGCAATAACACCCCATCCTGTCCTTGTCTCTAGTTAAACGGCGTGATCACCAGTCTCCCAGTGACACTGTCAGACGGTAAAATCAGAGTGTATCAGAGCGGCTTCCGTGCCATCCTGCAGACGGACTTTGGTCTTCAGGTGGCATACAACTGGGACTGGCATCTGGTGATCACCCTCCCCAGCAGCTATTATGGTGCCACGTGTGGCCTATGTGGGAACTTCAACCAGAACCCTGAAGATGACATGATGTCAGGCAGCAGCACCAAAGTCTCCTCCATCGTGGGCTGGGCTGCCAGTTGGAAAGTCCAAGACCGGGACCCCCTTTGCTGGGATTCCTGCCAAGAGAACTGCCTGACATGTGATGCGAGCACAAGGGAGCTGTACGGGGGTGACAGTCACTGTGGGTTGATCAGCAAAGCACCGGGAGGGCCCTTCAGAGAGTGTCACTCCAGAGTGAACTCCAGTGAGTTTTTCTATAGTTGCACCTATGACGTGTGTCTGAACAGGGGCGCTACGAGAATCTTGTGCCAGGCGCTGGAGGCCTACGCAGCAACCTGCAGAGACCACGGGGTCACCGTCCATGACTGGAGGATGCCATCTGGCTGTGGTGAGTCTGACAGCTTGGTGTCCTTACTGACATGGGCAGGATCGGGCTAGTCAGTAGAGAAGCCTGGATGTTTTTCATTCCACTGGAGTTTGGAGGAAAAATGCCATTCTTGTCAAATTCAAAACATTTAGAAAAAAGTTCAGATTTTGACAAAATTTAATTTCAAAAAGCGAGACAAAGCATGTCAATAACATTTCAGAATGGAGCATTTCAATTTTTCATTTTGAAACCACTTTTGACAACAAAATTAATTATTTTTAGATATCTAAAACATTTTTTGAAAGTTTTATAAGATTGAAATCAGAAAGTAGTGTTTTGATTTTATCAAAATAAAACACTTCAATCGACCTGCAACAATGTCTGGGACAGGAATTTCATTTCCGTTCCCTTTCGGAACAGAAGAAAATCCAAAATCTTGGTATTTCCCATGAAATGGTAAATCTGGTTTACGCTCAGTTCCAGTAGGCCATCTGGTCACTCTGTTGGTGGAAAGGATGGTGAATGACCTGAGCATAAGGTTGTGAATGCCTGGGTTTCTTGGGCATAGGGATCAACACTGACTCTGAGCACCACCTATTGAGCTCCCTACTCTGCTCCTTGCAGTACAACGTCCCCTAGTGTCACCCTTGGGAATTGGAGTCAGCACTGATTCCAAGGAGTGAGCATCCCCTACTGCGCATTCCACCCCACTCCCTGAAGCACAGTGCCCACTAGCGCAACAATGGGGCATTGGAGTCAGCACGGACTAAAGTGGAGAGCACCTCCTAATCAGATCCGGCTCCTTTGTTTGCAGAACAGCGCCCCCTAGCGCCACACTATGCCATTAAGGTCAGCACTAACTCAAAGGAGAGTACTCTTATTGAGCATTCTGTGCAGACCCTAAGTGTTCTTTATACCCAAGAGCTGACCCTGATTGACTCATGGCCTGTGAGATTTGGCTGCAAACATATATGGCCTTTTGGTTCCTGAATGCAGAGGTTAATTCCACCATCCTTTTCCTTTTGGCTGTTTCATACAGGGTGGATAACGCACTGCATGTAAGAATTTGTCTGTAGCTCTCACGGCGTTTAGGCAGGTTGTTTCATTCATTTCCTGTATTTTTAAATCTCCCCTTTCCAACCCTGTCCCAGCCCTGCCCTGCCCTGAAAACAGCCACTATGAGGCCTGTGGGAACGCCTGCCCTGCCAGCTGCTCTGACCGAACTGCCCCCTCCTCCTGCCGGGAGCCCTGTGTGGAGACCTGCCAGTGTAATGACGGTTACGTCCTCAGCACTGATAAGTGCATCCCCCTGGGGAGCTGTGGCTGTGACTACAACGGCCGCTACTACAAACCCAGTGAGGAGTTCTGGGCCGATGAGAACTGCCACTCTCGGTGCAGGTGTGACTCCAGCCTGGGCACAGTGGTTTGCAGGAAGACCAGTTGCAAGGCCAAAGAAAGATGCTCCGTGGTCAATGGGGTCCGTGGCTGCCATGCGATCAGCTACTCCACCTGCATAGGTACTGGAGACCCTCACTACACCACCTTTGATGGGAAAAAGTATGATTTTATGGGCACCTGCATCTACCAGTTTGCGGCTCTCTGCTCCAAGGACCCCACACTCACCCCGTTCAATGTCAAAGTGGAGAACAACAACCGAGGCAGTAAGGCCGTGTCCTTCACCAAAGCAGTAACCTTAGAGGTCTACAACGTGACCATCAGCTTGAGCCAGGAGCATCCACGCAAGATCCAGGTAGGGACCCAGGATCACTGGGGAAGTCATTTCAGTGATCTCTTGACTGGGCTCTATGTTGTCTTCTTAGCTCTGGGAGGGAGTGGGGTCTAGTGGTTGGAGCAGGGGGTGGGAATCAGGACTCCTGGATTCCATCCCTGGTTTTGTGAGGGAAGTGGGGTCCAGTGGTTGGAGCAGGGGGGCTGGGAGCCAGGACTCCTAGGTTCTATCACAGCTGTGGGGACTAGAAGGTTAGAGCAGACGGTGCTAAGAACTAAAGCTCCAGCATTCTACTCCTGGGAAGCAGGGGAAGTGGTTTGAGCTGGGTTTCAGACATTTAGAATTTTATTCCTCTCTCTGCCCCTGACTGGCTTAATAACCTAGGGCAAGTCACTTCCTACCTTTGTACCTTTATGAGCAGGTCTACACTTAAAACACTGCACCGATGAAACTGCACCACTGTAGCACTTCGTGAAGATGCTACTACATTGACGGGAGATCTTCTCCTGTCGGCATAGGTATTCCACCTCCTCAAGAGGCAGTGGCTATGTTGACAGGAGAAGTCCTCCCATCGACATAGCATTGTCTACACTGGGGTTAGGTCAGTGTAACTGCGTTGCTCAGGGGGTGGATCTTTCACACACCCGAGCAACGTAGTTATACCGATGTAAGATTACAGGGTAGACCTGGCCTATTTCCCCAACTCTAAAGGGGGTAATAAGATCTTTTCACTTCACAGGGCTGTTGTGAGTAGAGCTAGGCAAATAACTGGTTCTTTGATACCTACCTTGATACCTGCCAGTTCTGAAAATATTGACAAAAATTCTGTTCCACCTGAAAGGAAACTTTTTGTTTTGTTTCCGGGCAATAAAAAACCAAGGAAATGATGGGCTAGGTTCATGCAGTCACCAGCGGTGCTAATGACTCCCTTTAGGCCAGTGGGTGAGCAATCACCTGGGATGTGGAAGACCTGGATTCCATTCCTCCTTCTGCCTGATGGGGAGAAGGAATTTGAATTTGCTGGAGAGTCCCCTAGCTACTGGACTATGGGATATTCTGGGGCAGGGCTACACTTAAAATTTAGATCAATCTAAGGCCTGGTCTACACTGGGGGGGGGATCAATCTAAGTTACGCAACTTCTGCTACGTGAATAACGTAGCTGAAGTCAACGTACTTAGATCGACTTACCATGGTGTCTTGACTGCTTACCATGGTGAGTTGACTGCTGCCGCTCCCCCGTCGACGCTGCCTTCGCCTCTTGCAGAGCTGGAGTACAGGAGTCGACGGGAGAGCGCTAGTCTAGACACTAAACACGATAAATCGACCCCTGCTGGATCGATGGCTGCCCGCTGATCCGGCGGGTAGTGTAGACATACCCCAAGCTATATCTTTCAGGGTTGTGAAAAATCCACACACACACCCTGAGCACTGTAGTTAAGCCAACCTAACCCCTGGTGTAAACACAGCTAGGTTGACAGAAGAATTCCTCCATCAATGTAGCTACTGCTGCTCAGAGAGGTGGGTTACCTACCTCCATTTGGAAAAACCCCTTCCATCAACGTAGGACGTGTTTGAACCTTGACATGACAGCGGCACATAGCATCCCTCAATCTCTCCTGTTGAAGCTGTTCCACTGTGTATAAAATACTTGACTAGTCCCTGGCCCAAAGAGCAAGAATAAGAATGATTCTATACCTGTCTGTTAAGCACTCAGCTGGGGCAGGGGGAGACCCACATTCAAATTCCTGCTCTATTGACTAGTTAGTTATACAAAGTAGAACAGCTTCAACAGGAGAGATTGAGAATATTTTTGCCCTAGAGTAGCCTAGTAGGTGCTAAATGTGAGACCAGATTTTCAATCCTGCTCTGTATCAGGCAGTGGGGGGAACTGAACTCAGATCTGCCACATCCCGGGTGAGTGTCCTAATGACTGGGCTAAAGTTATAAAGGAAACTGCTCCTGCATATGGCCCCTTGTGCATCCAGACTGATTTTTTTTTCCACCACAACTATCCCTCCAATTTTTATCAAATACAGAAATAGTTTCTGGTCAACAAAAACTGAATTTATGAGCAAGTACATTATTTGTGTGAGATTTTTCACCCAGCTCTAGTCTTTAATGCTTCAACTGCATAGCACTCCTTGGATAGAAGGAGCTTTAGAAAAGGAAAGGGCTATAGTAAGGGGCAATGGGATGAAATATTAATGCACTAGGTTACCCTCCATCCAATTCAGAAATATAAATTCTGGAGCCAGACCATCCATGGCTGCTCCGTGGAAATGGAATTATTTCATGTTGAGTGCACTGGGTGAAGTCCTTGACAATCTCTACTGTATGTTTTCCAGGTCAATGGTGTCTTTGTGGACCTGCCCTTCTCCCACCAGCACAAGTTCAAGGCCTACATCAGTGGAGTCCATGGCTTTATTCAGACTAATTTCGACCTGAGAGTGAGCTTCGACTGGTACAGCTACGCCAGGGTCATCATACCCAATACGTACGCCAATGCTGTCTGCGGCCTCTGTGGTAATGCCAATCAGGACCCCAGCGACGATCTGACCATGAAGGATGGAACTCGGACATCTGATGAGATTCAGTTTGCCGACAGCTGGAAGGTGGGAGAGGTCCCAGGGTGCTCGTCTAGCTGCACCGGGGACTGCTCAGTCTGCAGTGAGGCTCAGAAACAACCCTATAAGGGAGACCAGTACTGTGGGGTCCTCATCCGACAGAATGGGCCATTCAGAGAGTGCCACGGGGCCATCGACCCAGATCCCTTCTTTGATGATTGTCTCTATGACACCTGCCAATACAAGGGTCACCAGGACACACTGTGCAGCGCAATCAGCACCTACGTCACATCCTGCCAGGCCAGGGGCATCCAGATAGGGCAGTGGAGATCGCCCTCATTCTGCAGTAAGTGTCGCCTGCGGGACTCTGCTTCAGGGACTGGCTACTGCACATGTGCACCAGCGCCCTCTGCAGGGTGGGGTCAGAATTGTTCACCCACCCAGTTCTGAGTTTTAATTTACAGTGTGTGATATCTTTGTTACAGTTTCTAGCCCTAGACATTTCCAACATGCAATTAAAATTTTAGTCCCTGAAATATATTTTTAATTCTGTATCATGTTACTTAATGTCTAGATGTCTTGTAAACTTTCTCTTAGAGCTCCTCTTTTCTGTTCCTGGTGTTTTCATGGCTTGTCTACACTTACAGAGCTGCAGCTTCACAGATGCAGCTGTGCCGCTGTAGCACTTAGTGAAGATGCAACCTATGCCAATAGGAGAGCTTCTCCCATTGGCGTAGTTAATCCACCTCCTTGATAGACGGTAGCTATGGCAATTGGACAAGCCCTCCTGTCGCCATAGCACTGTCTACACCAGGAGTTCGGTCAGTATAACTGTGTGGGTGTGGATTTTCCACATCCCTGAGTGATGTACTTATACTGACATAAGTCTGTAGTGTAGACCAAGCCTTACACTTTGCCTTTCCAGAGTAAATTGAATTAATACTTTGGCATTTAGAGAAGTAGAAACATTTTATAACATTCATTAAGTCTTGTAAGTCACTGCGAGATAGGTAAGTATTGTTATCCCCATTTGATCGGCTGGGAAAATTAGGAAAACAGCTGGCAAATTATTTGGTCAAGGGTGTCCTCCATAAATAGGTAGCAGAGCTAGGAAAAGAACCCAGAAGTTCGGAGCCCCCCTGCTTGCAACATAATGCATGAATGCAGACTCCCACTATTCTAGTCAAGAGGTGACCCTTTATCCAACAGATGGGAATAGAACCCAAGAGTCCTGATGGCCACTCCCCTAATTTAATCACTAGACTATACTTTTCCCAGAGATGAAACTAGGACCAGGAGTCCTGATTCCCAGTCGCCTGCTCTAACCATATCCTAATGGATGTGAAAAGAAAGAGACTTTCAACAACATTGACCAAGATGATTTGTTAGTTCAACCACATTTCTCCTCACAGAAATTCAAATTCTCTCTGAATTCTTTTTCTTCAGGACCCACCTGCCCCCTTAACTCTCACTACGAACTCTGTGGAATTAGCTGCCCTTCCAACTGCAACAACCTGTGGGCTCTAGATCGGTGTGACAAACCCTGTGCTGAAGGATGTTTCTGTGATGCTGGATTCACCCTGAGTGGTGACAAGTGCATTCCTGTCGCGCAGTGTGGCTGTGTGCACCAGGCCATGTATTACAAGAAGGGAGAGGAGTTCTACCCCAGTGCCTCCTGCCAGGAACGCTGCCTTTGCAAAGACAATGGGGTCGTTGCGTGCCAGAAAGCCTCCTGTGGAGCCAATGAGGAGTGCAGGGTGGAGAATGGAATCCTGGGCTGCCATGCCATGGGCTATGGAACATGTGTCGCATCTGGTGGATCTCACTACATCTCCTTTGACGGACGGGCCTTTGACTTCCAGGGCTCCTGCACTTACACCTTAGCCAAGGTCTGCAGCAGAGACTCTGGACTGGAGAACTTCTCCGTGGTGGTGGAGAATGAGATCCCTGGTGGTGGCCACATGGCTGTGATGAGAACAGTGGTGGTGTCCCTGCATGGTTACACCATCGCCATGGAGAGCGGGAGGAAGTGGAAGATTGCGGTAAGTCCCTGTTTGCGATTAGACTTACATAGCACTAATTGTGTGTGTGTGTGTGTGTGTGTGTGTGTGTGTGTGTGTGTAAGTAAACACGTAGGACTATTGACTAGTC